GAGAACATATTGACTACCTTTATAAACAACAACATGAAATAAACACAGTTGCAGATCATTTTTAAACTAATCATGGACAAGTAACAACTGATTTGAAAATACTGTTCTCTGTACAAGTACACTGACATAAAAATTTAAAGAAGCTCTTCTCATCAAACAACTACGACCACAGATGAATAGGGATAAAAGATGCAGCTTATAATTTTAATCATTTTATTTTTTTCATCTTATCTTTTGTTATTTCAATTTGTTATTTATTACAGATAACAGTTAATTATTTCAATAATAAGCCTTACTACTTAATATATCAAACGCACGCTGTAGAAATGCACGCTACAGATTCGATTAGAAATTATTATTTAAATAATTTGAAGCTTTGTACTGTCAGTTACGGTTTGTTTTAGTAGAACGCTCCTGAAGAAGCTGTAAAGCGAAACACTTAGTGTCCAATTGAAGAAAAAATAACAAATTTGGTGTTATACGGGCGTTTATTTCTGGTATTAAAAAGTCTTTTTTTTATACACCAATATGCACTACAGAAATTAATAACATTCGTTGCCATATTCTTAAGTCCAACATTGTTTTATAGTTGAGAGGTTTATCTCTTTTTAACCCATAATATTTTGCGCGTTCTGCCGGAATTACTTGCATGATGTCCTAATAATTATCACTATAATCACATAAAATTTCCGGTCTATTTATAAAAAGTAGATAATAACATGCTTTGGATTACTTTTCAGCGAAAAAAAACATAAATGTTATCGGACGCTGTCACCGTCCGATGGGTAAATCGGGATTTTCGGTTGGACACTGGGAGTTAAACTGCTTGATTGTGACAGAAGTATAATAAATATATACATAGCTTTTAATTTTTAAAACATATTTTATACCGTGTAATTAAAAAACACACAAAACCTAATATTTGATATGATTATAGTATATCTTCAGAATTACTTGCTCTATGGGTTTATTTATTTGTTGGTTATTAAGCACAAAGCTACACAATGGGCTATCTGTGCTGTGCCAATCAGAGGTATTGAAACCCGGTGTTTAGCGTTCTGCTCTATGGGAACAAAATTTCATCAGGGCACATCGAGAATCATAAATCTGATTCAGAAAGGTTTCTCGCTATACTAAAAACATGAATTCACACAAGAAGAACCTGCTAACCATGCAGGTACAGAAACTCATAAAATAAAAGAGATCATTTGCTCAAAATTTATAGAAACACAAACAAAATTAACCAAATACTTAGCAAAATTACTCATTTTCTTCGTGAGATATACATAGAAAATATTAAAATTAATTAATTGCAATATTTATGGTATTTGTGTTTAAATGTTTTGTGGAAATAAGTGCGTTATTAGTAACTTAGTAACCAACCACGTCATGAGCTAACAAGTAAAATGTGATGCGTAATTCTGAGGTTAAGAAAGTGTCGAAATAAAGCAACAGGCAATAGCCTCTCACACTCCATACTCTTTATTCATAAATAGCATACAACATATGGCAAAAATATATCTGACTAGAATGCATGCTTAAATAAATATACATACATGTATATATTCAACACACGTTATACACCATAACGTAAATGTTGGGAAAATTAAATGTATTCTACAGTTTAGCGAGGGCGCTCAACTGATGAAACAACATCATTAATTTTTATAAGTAATAAAAGTATATTTAATTAGCCATATTCATTACCTTTATTACCAAGCTGAGTTTTACTTTCGCTTTAAGTAGGTAGCGTGCTCTAATTAAAAATAATATTAATTACTACCACCTAGCTATATGTAGGTAAAGTACTTCCAATAAACAATGACAGAATACTTTTATTTGAGGAATGAGTTCAAAACAACACAGCCACCAGGGCGGTGATCATATTGTATCTTGTCTCAACGTTACCATACGTCATACGAATTGATTGCCCCTTCTGAATGTACTACACCTGGATCCATCGTTTACCTTACATCATGTGAATTTACTGCACTATGATCCATACTTTACATGAATTTCCTTCACCTTCCTCCTTCATACTTTATATTTACTTATGCACCTTGTGTCTCAATATTAACATAATTAGTGAGAGCTTACCGAACCGTGTGTCTGAGGTCCCCCCCCTCCCCCTAACCTCATATGACTTCTTGTACCTTGTGGTGTTAACATAATTTATTCGATTTGACACAATATAAAAATAATCACCATAAATTAATTGTCGCACAGAACGAAAACTATTCAGTTTAATTGCAACAAATTAACAGTTTAAAATCTGAATAAATATGTTTTATAATTTTATTTCTACCACAGAATAATAGTTTTCAAAGCATTTACAAAGTTAAAAAAATACACTTCAAAATCAGCGTTTTAACGTCTTTAGAACCACGGGATTTTTAAGATAGAACTGTTCTTAGGTCTCATTCTTGAGAAACCTTTTTATTAATCTAGCTTACTATATTTATCACTGTATTGAAACACGTATAGATCAGATAGAATAAAGGAAAACAATATTTTGAGTGAAGGTTATAGAATGAAATATTTGTAGCACAATAACCTTAAATAATAACAACGATTTACAATCAACATGACATTTTAATTATGTGTCATTAAGCAACTGTTAATGGATTACGTGTTAAATCGCCAAGCTAAGTCCACTGAAGCAGCAAGACAGAATCGTTTTTAAACGTTTATTAAGTTATCGACCCACTTGAGTAAAAGCCGTGTTGAAAATGGCCCGTGAGAAAAAAAAACCCAGCTGTGACGTCATTTATGGACATATCTAAGGCAACACCAATAATCTTTCACAGTGGCGGGATAATCTACCAAGTATCCTGATGCACAAAGTTTAACCTCAATATTACAGTTTCTATTTATGATTTTAGTTTCTATACAATTGTGCAAATCTAATACCTTGTAAGATCCTATTCATAAAGGTGAATAATACACCACCTATATCATATATGCATCATGTTTACTTATATATTAATTTTAACATGCTACATACACCATAAAATGTTACATATTTATACATTCATATATATATATCTACAAGCGAATGCAAGAGAAAATCCCTGCACTTAAAATCTCTATCTGTAGCTATCTATCTATATACATATAACCGAAGAACACGCGAATGTAGATTGATGTGAATTTACTACGTAGTTTTTCATTATAAAAAAAAAGAACATGAGACTTGTCTTGTAAAAAAAAAGTGTTTCGTAATTCATAAATTAACAGAGAATACAGACTGCTATTTCGAAATGGAATCGTGTGGTAACGTGGGACATAAGCTCATATTATAGATAAAGGAATTATTCCAATACCAGCTGATTTCTACAGCTTCGAACTATTTCATTTCTCAAGCGTCCAGCTAAATCGATTGTCACCGGTAATTGTTAGCTATCCGCCTTTACATCATTTCATTGATAACAAGTGTTTTAGGCAAGAAAATGGAGATCTGTACTTTCATGTAATCCCAATTTTTAGCTTTTTCAACTGTGACACAAACATTACCTATTATGAGCTTACTTTCTCTATCACGTCTGCAAAGCCGAAAAGTGAACAACATTTGAGTGTTAGGGCTAGATGAAGTGTTAACACTCTGTCAGAATAAATAGTAACCTACACAGTTACATGTTTGATACAACGTTCTCAAAATGTGAAAATATAGAAAAGTTAGAGAAAAACTGTAACTACGCTTACAATAATGAATTAGCAGCTATCTAGTGAAACAATATCTAGAACGTAATAGATGGACGGACATGTGTTGGTTTCATTTCGATTTAACTGGACTTGATTTTACTTGTGGTTGATTACTCTAAATTGGATTATGTTACACTCCACTGAAGCATAACCATTGTCATTGCATTAAAGAGCATTACTAAATACAAGTCGTCAAGAATACTGGTGTCGTTTAAATTTGAAATATAATTTGTCCGATATATTTTGGTCGTAAGGATTTGTTTTGCTTTGAACTTCGAGCAAAGCTACACTAGGGATATCTGCACTAGCCGTTCCTAATTTAGCAGTGAAAGACTAGAGGGAAGGCAGCTAGTCATCACTACCCACCGCCAATTCTTGGGCTACTCTTTTACCAACGAATAGTGGGATTGACCGTCACTTTATAACGCCCCCACGGCTGAAAGGGCAAGTATGTTTGGTGGGACGGGGATTCGAACCAGCAAACCTCAGATTGCGAGTCAAGCGCCTTAACCACCTGGCCATGCAGAGCCTAAGGATTTACATAAGGTCCCATCCCGAACACAAATCTTCCGTCTAATATCGTTAAAATTTCAAATACAAATCATGTGAAATACTGTTGACAATGTTGGATGAAATTCAACATATTACTATTCCAAATATTGTTACCACTAATATTTTATATTTCAAATATCAGTCTTTCAGATTACTACTTCTTATTTTCTTGGAAATTTGAAATATTAGCTTTTCAAAATACATGGGTATTTAAAAATTAGAATTAAATTAAAAATAGGTCAGAAGACCGTTCTAGGTCTAGGTCAAAACACTATATTTCAAAGACAGTCAGTTCACTTATAAGCTAACCGCAGCGTTCCAAGCAGCGGGTTTCATAGAAAACAGCTGTATTGCTGCTCATGCAGGGTGCTCTATAGTCTCTGCGTGTATACACACATGCTACTCTTACTATTTATATGAACAAAAGTTAAAAAAATAAGTGATATCATTTCTAGATTTATTTTATGTGCTTAATAAACATATTAATTTTCAATTGCAATGTTTTACATCATGTGCATTACTTCCTTTCTTCTCAATATGGCTCGGCATGGCCAGGTGGTTAGGGCGCTTGACTCGCAATCTGAGGGTTGCTGGTTTGAATCCCTGTCCCACCGAACATGATCGCTCTTTCAGCCGTGGGGGCGTTATAAGTGACAGTCAATCCCACTATTCGTTGGTAAAAGAGTAGCCCAAGAGTTGGCGGTGGGTGGTGATGACTAACTGCCTTACCTCTAGTCTTACACTGCTAAATTAGGGACGGCTAGCGCAGATAGCTCTCGTGTAGTTTTGCGCGAAATTCAAATAAACAAATCTTCTCAATATTTGTTACATCTCAGGTATTTTCTCACGCACTTCACTGCATCGATAAAATTGCATAGTAATTCAATTTTGACACAGTAAAACATGCATTATCAACAGATACGGGGAATATAACTTTCACAGTATTCTTCTTTGTTGTTGTATACTGAAACTATGTCTTCGCATGACTGACGTTTCATGTCCGTGAGGAGTGTAAAAACTAGCCAAATGTAGAGCAGAAAAAAGTCTGAAATATATAGTCACATTAGCCACTCTCTACCAGATAATCAAGTTGCATCATTACCTTAAAACATGATATTTTTTCTAATTCTGAAAGCTGACTTGATTTGAAGCGGAGTCTTAAGATTCTGATGTTAAAGCATTAGTACAGTGTACTGTAGACGGCAATTTTCAGCGTGGTATCATATTAAATGATTTCAGTGCAGTTCTCCTGTGTATCAACAACTTCTACATTAAACCACTTGTTTGTATTCATAAATTTGAATAATGTCCTTTATGATTGACAAACATTCTAATATGTATACATATTTTATAAACTGAATATAAATATCCAATCTAATATGGAATAATAATTTGTGTGTTTACTGCAAGCAGTTTCAAATACTTGGATATGACTCCCCTTCCTGTACAATCATTAAATGTGACCACTTATTTGAACTAATACACACTGAAGTGAGAACAGTAAACAAATATTAAACTATTTTAACTGCCGATAAGATCTCATATCAAAAGGAATTCCTAATTGTAAACTATAAATTCCCGAACATGTCATAACGTGTGTGGTTAAGTATTCCGCTTGGTAAATGCTCTAATAGCAGCTGCAAGATTGACATGGTTCAAATTTCATTATGCTTGTAGAGATAGGGAGAGTGCTGCAGTAAGGATATAGGGTATTTGGCCTAGGCCTTTTCAGCCTGCACCCTACATGCATGTGTGTGAAACTTTTTAAGATAAAAATATACATCTAAATAATATAGTCTGACTGAAACATTATATCGAAATATAATTAGACTCAGGTCTATACACATAAAATATATCACTATTACACTTCCTTCAAGAAGAAAAACAATTAGTTAATTCACAACAAAACAATGTTAAGCCAGCCTGCTTAATTTTCGTATTTATTTCCCGAAATTAGGTAGCACTGCTAAATCTCATTGTAACTAACAGAAGCCTTGTGATAAAAGTAAACACCTTATCAGCAGTAACCATGATAAATTTCACAGTGCTGCAGCGCATTCATCCGGTCCGAGATATTTAGGAAAGCTTTGGAAGTGCAATTTATATGATGTTTCAGGTGTATTTTGAGGTAAGTTTGTTTGTTTGTTTGTTTTCATGTTAAGCACAAAGATACACAATGGGCTATCTGTGCTTTGCCCACCACGGGTATCGAAACCCGGTTTCTAGAGTTGTAAGTCTGCAGATATGTCACTGTGCCACTGGGGGGCTTGAAGTAATGGAGACAATAATATGCAATTATGATGGCGAGCATGTCTATAAAAATGCCACATCTGACCTATTAGAAAGAAACGTTACCATGACTGTGGTTTATTAAAGACATGGAAAGCCGTAAATTAATAATATCTGATATACTTTTCACAAACGGACAAGCGGTACCAGTGTAATTATTCGTAATACAAACATCTGTTTATGATAGAGCAAAGACAAACTGGGCTATCTTTCTGTGTTCATCATTACTATAATATACCTGTAAGCATTTCACATGAAAGCGTGTTGAATACTGTAATTACACAGTGTCAAAATAATTAACATCATTATACAGCTTGAGTCAAAAGTCTTGATTTTCCACATTGTTGTGACGTAGATGTGATATATCGAAAACCGCTGACATAGGGTGTTTAGGCATACTGAGGATCATTTGTTATCTGACATATATCTTTGTTATAATGGTCAAATCTAGGTCAATCAAACACTATCTATCAAAGTATAATTAGTATGAGGTCAAATATGTTAATACCTAAGTTGTAACACACAACTATATTATTTATTTACCCTAAGTACTACAGAATATATTGGAACAAGTAATATAATTATCTGATCTACACACTTCTGTTACATTATCTATACAATTACATATCTATATCAAGAGTGGTAACAGTGTACCAGAACATAGTATAGCATTTTCTTCAAAAACCCAGTATATCTCATTTTACAAACAAATCTGTAGAAAAGTCAGGAATTGTCAATGTATCTGCTTTTTTTAAACACAGAAAGTAGTAGTGTGTAAGGCCCTCATTTCTTCAGAGAAGATATTTAGTCCAATCCACTAGAGACAGTTTTCTATAGCTTTTCTCTATATATATATACATAGAAGGTGTATGAAGAACTAGCAAGGGGTGGGCATATAACATTCTCTTAGAGCAAACCGTATAATTCTTGAAACAGGAATTAGACGTAGGGTCTTGTCAACCCACCCTCACACCAAAATTATTTTTCAGCCAATCCCAATGTATTACAAGCAATTTCAACTCTACTTATCTGACACACACACATACACACACACACATATATATATATATATATATGAATAAAAAAATTATAGTAAGCGTAACATAAATCTGATTTGAATATTATAAATCTTTGTAAAACTTCATGCAAGCTATTTATTATCATCCATATTTACCAAAAGTAATAAATGCGTCTTTGTGACAAATGCCCATCCTTTCCACATTGAAGTAGACTATTTACTAGAAATAAACTCTGCAGGACTTGAAGACACTCGGAAAATTAGTCCTACTTATTGTGAAGCAATTTGTTCACTTGAAGTATTCTTTCCAGAAATCAAAGACACATGAAAACCTAGTTTTTGCACACAGTGAAGTAACTCCATACTCTCGGGAAGATTTAGAGATATATATGAAAAAATGATATTAATAGCATACAACAAAGTTATTCCTTGTCAAATGTTTTTCAGAAAATTTCCTCTTGAAAAGCTAGGTTTAATCACAAACAAGTAACCTGACACAATCTTTGTCATATTTTCCCCTCAGAAACTGCAGATCCTAGATGTAGTTAAGTACAGGCAAGCCATACGATCCAGCATCCTTTCTCTAGAAGCTTTAGATACAGGAAAAATGATGAACGGAAGTTAGTTATTAGAAGCACATTTTCTCAATCCTTCAAATTTTTGGTTTCGTTTTATTCCTTATTTTAACATGTCCAATACTTCAATGACGTCAATTTGCTGGGAAGAAAAATAATTAGTTATTTACTGCCTGTATAAGAACTGCTAATTGTAAATGCTTTATTCAATGAATCTCTATAGATCTACATAGTTAAGTCACATTAACGATATATGTATCAACATATGCATTATTACAGGGTGATTTTAAAGAAAGATTCGCAGTCACTCGCGCGTCATATCTCAAAAACTGTTTGTCACAGAAAAGTGAAATTGCACGAGATGTTAAGATTATCATGCAAATGCAAAATGACACTGTTGTCACAAGGGGGGCCCACTAAGACCTAATGTCCTGTGACCTAATATCTGATCAAACACAGCAACTATTTAACAACGAAAACTGGGATCATTCTACAAAATATTTTTATTCTTCAATATATGAGAAAGTTTAATATGAATTTAGTTTGATTTTGGACTACTATGTCAGCATGCCAAGATTGGTTTGGATCAGTCAACTCGTTTAGGAGGAGATGTGTCCATACACAGACATAAAGTTTTCTTTGATACTGGATAGTTTCCGCACCAGTATGACTTAATATGTATAGCGTATATATAAAGAACGTCTGTGCCGAGTGAGACAGAGCTGGATAAATAATTTAATTTCGTCTTATAATTTATTATATGACGTTGATCATACAATTTTGTACGTTATCCAATAAAACAGTTTCTATTCATAGATGACACTTGATATTGTACATATTTCAACACCTGTTTACTATACCTTGCCATTGATGGCTCAGTGGTAAGTCTGAGAGCATATAACGCTAAAAATCGAAAACACTGAAAACACGCATCGTTAATGCGGTTCCTATATCTAATCTCAGAATACTTTACAATTTCATCTCAAAAATCGAATCTTTTTAGAATCAAATCCTCTTGTATATTGTTAATATTTAAACTACTTTTAATGCCTTATTCTTGTCTGACAACAACACTAATTTCTTTTATTTTCTCTTGGAATATTTTATTTAAAGAGTATTCTCAAGCGGAATTGTTTTAATTTATTCTTGACCAAAACCATATTATAAACTACATAATATTTACCCTATGTAAAAGTTTGAGTTTCTCAATAACAGCGACGAGAAGATTCAGGATACTTCTTCTGCAGTTCAGCTTTGAAGTTTCTGAAAAGCACTCTGTTTCTTTCTTGTTCCACGTCTTTGCTTTTATGGAAAGATGGGGTCGTTTTCCAGCCGTCATGAACAAGGAAGGCATTGTTTAAAACGGAAAATCTGTATCCAGCCACGTGCAGTTCACAAACCTGTAATAACAACAAGAGCAAAATCATACGTGTTTGTCTAAAAATTACATAATACCAACTAAAGGTTGTGATAAGTAAGGAAAATTTCCAAGTTCCAAATGCAGTAACAAGCATAACACTAGAGAATACCATCGTGGCTCACTTAAATCATGACATTTTCCTAATTTGGAATTAAATAAATAAATACTTAGGACGATAATTTTTCAAGATGAGTTATTATGAATACAGAAGCTGTTCATTTAGTGTATTACACTCTGCGCATGAATTGGCAACAGATTTTCTTCGCTGAAATGCTGAAACTCATCTCATCACTCATTTTTGCAACCTTGCCAAACCTCGTTAACAACAAACTTATAGTAATCCCGCGCATGATCTGACAATAGACTTTTCATTAAAATAATTAAATTAATCTCATCCCTCCCCTTTTCAACCTTACCAGAGTTCGTTAATAACAAACCTATAAGCGTTTGAGAGAAATCCATAGGTACGCATCAGGGTTTTTGACAGGAACCAATATAATTGGTAATGAAGAATTATTCCACTATACACATGCAAGCACGCAAGCAGGAATTCTGAAGTCAGGTCTTATAATTAGATCTTCAACAGGCAGAAAGGGTTTCAAGTTAAAAAAAAACACGACTTTCTTTCATCCGACTGACCAAACTGAAATTTCTACTGAAATTTAAAGCAAAGTTGTCCTCATCTGGAATTTTGTTATCCCTGAATACGAATCAACAGATTTTTCATTAAAAAGACTCTTTCATGAAAATGGTTGTTTTAGTATAAACATGATAAAGTATCATTGAAAATTGACTACGTAACTCACTCAATGAAACATTAAATTATCATCACTATCCTCTATTTTAGTAACAATTTCATATATGATTTTTTAAGCAACGCGACTAAAACTACTTTAGAAGTTTTTAGCTTTGAAGGACAAACTTTCCCATTTAATGGAGGGGACATGATCACAATAACGCATTCACAAATGATCCACACAATAACGAATTGTACATCATTATCTAATTTATTTTGAAATTCTAATGAATGTTGCAAAGTATAGTTCTGTATATGGTCACGCAGTCTGTTAGCAGGATATGACTTTGCATGAAGCAGGATCATAGTCTTGCCTTATTGTCAATAATAAAAAAAAGACATCTTAGACTAAGGTTTGTGAACAACAGTAATGATTCATACACTTGACAGGTGAACAAACTTTCTTTTACTGGACAAGTTTGTTTCTACCACACCTCAGAGTGTATTTTCACTTGAATTCTTACTCGTATTTCGGTAACTGACTAACAAAATATAGCAAGCGTGCAAAAAAACAAACAGCTATTTTCATTGCTCTGCTAAAACGTGAAATGTGTTAAGAAAAAGTAGTACATTTTCTTAATTAAAATCGCTTAGATTTACAATGCATTATTACGTATATATAGACGCTAAAAACGTGAAATGTGTTAAGAAAAAGTAGTACATTTTCTTAATTAAAATCGCTTAGATTTACAACGCATTATTACGTATATATAGATGCACAAAACCGTCGTAATTAAAATTGAAGAATTTAGTTTAACAAAGAGCAGTTTTCAGAATTCACTTTAATCGCATTTCAAATGTACTAATACATTAACTTATCAAGTAGTATAATTTAGAGAATAGCCATGCAAATGCTGAAAATCCATGTTATGTTATATAACAAGATAAGATGAACATGTGCGTTTTATTATATAACAAGGAAAGACGAACATCCATGTCATACTGTTTAACAGGGAAAAGATGAGCATCCACGTTAATTATGTAACAAGAAAAGATGAACACTAAGTTATGTTATAAAACACGAAAAGACTTGCAATCACATTATGTTCTATAATGATAAAATAAGAATTTCAACGTTAATTATATAAAAATATATGTAGCTTTGTGCTTAATTACAAAACAAACAAACAATATTATATAAGAAAATGAAGACCCACGTTAAGTTATACAAAAAAATTAACATCCACGTTATGTTATGTAAAAAGAAAAGATGAATGTCCATGTTATGTTATAAAAAAAATTAACATTTATGTTATGTTATATAATAATAATAGGTGAACATTTACATTATGTAATGTGATAGAAAACGTTGAATAACTACGATGGTGATGTTAATGAAATGTAAAACATTAAAATATATTTCCCACAAATATACAGATATTTCGATATTAGACCTTTCTTTAAAAGTACAATTTACCACAAAACAGCAGTCAATCTTTCAGAGTCTACTAATTATCTGAGTAGGACGAAGCTAATTAAATATGACTGCATCAACAGATGTTACTTATCCTACAACAGACAATGTCAGAAACAAATGATGCATGAAAGCACGTGTCTGCAGGACATACGGAAATCAAGGTACTAAGCAACCATGTAATTCAGGCAATGTGTTACACCTGAGGCAAGATACAGATGTAGGTATATTTCCAGAAAACTATTCCAGATAAACTATTCCAATTAAATATTATAAACTTTATCCTTACCTCAAGGTTGAACATATTAATTAGTTATATCCTAAAATCGTAATATATATATAGATGTACACGTTACTATTCATACCTTAGACCCGGCATGGCTAAATGGTTAGGGAGGTCGAATCCCCGTCCCACCAAACATGCTCGCCCTTTCAGCCGTGGGGGAGTTATAATGTTTCGGTCAATCCCACTATTCGTTGGTAAAAGAGTAGCCCAAGAATTGGCGGTGGGTGGTGGTTCCTAGTTGTAGGCTTGAAAATATAATATTTGAATTTTGATTCAAGTTATTTCTGTACTTTTTGATGGTCCCTATTTCACTTTTAAATTACCAGATCTTAATTATCTTATTTCTTAAGTTTTCATGTCCAATTATGAGAATAAATAAAGATACATACTTGCATATGCATTCAATTGAATGTTACATGTTTCTCAAAAGCTTACTGCTGCACTGGCTTTTTCCCCACCCATTCATTATTTACTGAGCCAGGTGGTTTTTGTGCCTGAGGTTTCGTGTAAACGCATAAACACGCGTTTAACAAGCGAAGTACGAAAATCAGTAGAATAAATCATCACTCATCTATATAAATAAAATAAGAGTTTTGTCTGTACATTGCTTAGAATAGTGTA